ATCTGCCAGATGGAGTTTAGAGAAATAAAGAAAAGGCAAAATCATTATGTGAGTTCAGTGAACAGCTTAGAAGCAGGGTTACAAAGTGTTAAACTATCTGTAAACAGTCTGGCTGAGTCAGTAGCAGAGCAAAGGAATCTAGTCAAAACGACAATGGAAAGACAACTTCAAATTAGCAGAGACCTGACAAGATGTTCTGAAGATTTGCTAAACCTTCATGCAAAACATCCATCATACCCACAATCATACGTTGATAAGGCAAAAGATGAACTGAAACATCACTTTGAGGCCGAAAGAGGAAAGATATTTGAAAATCTTTATGAAGAAAAAATACGCAATTTACATGAAATAGTTGAAATACAATTTATCAAATATAAATCTCCCAAAGAAGTAAAATATAATTCATCTAACCAACATTCATCTGAATCACATTTGACAAAGAATATTCTGGTACCAATATTAAACGATTTAAAGAGATCTATGAAGAAGTTGATGATGACGTCAAAAAGCACCTTGCACTATTTGCACAGACTCTTACGTCAACAGGTCTCAGAATTAGCAGAGGCAAGACTTTGGACTGTTAGACAAATCCAGCAAAAGTTTAAACATAATGGAAAAGTTATGGATGCTTTGAATGTACATTTGAAAAGTAATAAGAAAGGAATATTGTCTTTAAATGATACGATTAACTCATTGAAAAGCTTTTGTTTATCTTATCCAAGTTTTGCATACAGATGTGGACATGAAATAAAAAGGAAATGCATCAAAGGACCGGATGGAATGGAAACGTTGCAATATAAACCTGGTAAATATATACATGTACATTTCAAGTACTACATTTAGACGCACATGAAGAGGTTGCATCACCTTTTGATCGGCCACACTCCATGGTCGCTCAGCATTGATCAATTAGAAATAATATTTCCTTGAAAATTTTAAAAAGACAACAGAATTGATTAAGTAGTCCAAGTATTAAAAAAATTCTGTAAAATATTGAAAATAACCATTTTTATATCCATATTTTTTTTTCTGTTATGTAGATGGAATTTGGGATTTATTAATAATACCTGCACTACTAGTAATAGCATCGGTGGTTTATGTTATTTGGACAAACAGGCCAAGCGGTAATAAAGAAGTAGTTAAGCAATGGATGGAGAGTTCTTTAACTAAAAAGAAACCCCAACCCATACCTGAATCGAAGGTGTTGAACAAAATTTCAAAGATGCAGCCAAATATCTCTGAATATATCAAATCAGTTTCCTTAAGAAAGAGAAAGATTATTGTTTTGTTTATCTATTTTAGGAAAACCTTGAAAATTCGCTGTGTGTCGTTTGTTTTGGATATGGATCTGATAAACAGAAGTATGTCCATTTGGCCTCTGAGTTGATGGGCTCAGGGTTCTCTCTACAAATGAAGAAAGTAGTAGTCAATTCTACAGAAAGTCTGGAAACTCTGCCCCCATCAAAGGTATTTTTCTGATCAAATTTACGCATTCTTTCAGAACATTTTCTTATCGGTACAATTACATGTATCTTTATGTTTTAGACACAAATGTGCCTAATTCTTCTTTTAAATTGGAATTGAATTTATTCAGGTTATTCTTATGTTTGTGGATTACAACGAAAGGAACCTAATCATAGAAGAAGAACAGGGAGGTTTGAAAAGAGAAACTCTATTGATGCTACAAGGAACTGGTGGTATGGTATTTTCATATAACTGAAAAATAAAAAAATAACTTTTTGAAGAATTTTACTAACATAATTATTCAATTCATAGTGACTTAAATGGCGCTTTTCAGCTGAGGTAACTGTCGTTTACTGTTATGAGCTTTCTTCTAAGCATCTTGATGAAGGACGTCTTTTTGCGCAGAAGTTGACTGTCGTTGAAAGAATGAAAGAACTCAGAGAACTGCGTGACAGGAACTCCATATTTAGTATCTACAACACATTCAACCCGACACAGAAAGAAGTCTTCCGCTCTAAGCTGAAAAATTCTTGTTAGCACGCTATTCTATATATAACAATAAAACATCGCCGGGAATATATTTTTTTCCTTATTTGTGCTTGGAAGTGTAGTCAACTTCACTTCCATTCAAAGGTTTGTCTAAAATAAATCTTCAACAGATTGTACATGATGCAGCAGATATGATTACAAGGTTTCATAGTTTGTGTATTGGCAGGTTAAAGTCAAGAGGGTTGTGTCATCAATTTAGGTGGAAATAAATGAACACAGTTTTACCGCAGCTACCTCAGACGTTTTGTTTAAAATTAAAATCGTTAAACAATATAGATACATGTATCATATATCAAAACCACTACCTTTATCCCATTATCTGTACACACAAGGGCAGCTAGAGCCTCAAAGCTGCCATTGAAAATATACATGTTCTTTAGTTTGACAATGCGCTACTTAAGGAGGCTAGGGGGTCAACAAATTAACCACAAATTAACCACCAGATTTAATATATTTGTTTAGATACGGTATCTTAAGCTGTCAACATTTTAGTTTTAAAATTTGATCATTTTTGTATATCTTTATATGGAGCTCTTCTTTTAAAGGAGATCGAAATAGTCTGAAAATGGCTGTCACCCCCCAGCCTCTTTAAAGATCTTTTGATCCAGCATTCTATTAAATCCTTTTTCAAACATTAATTGAAAAGGTGCTTATTTGAATTTATTTTAAATCCCTGGAAATCCCCGAGGTAGAATCAGGTGCCTAGCAGGAGTAAACATACCCTGTTTATTGGCCATCTCCATCGTAAATCCTATGTATTGTGTAAATAGACGGAACTGTAGTCCAATCCATTATCAAACAATTGGTAAGAACAGGAACCCAAAAAAAGACTCAGTGAAAGGTTTTATTTGCTATCAAAGTCATTATAACGACCAAAGAATTTAGGAAATTAAACGAGGTTGTAAAATTTCCTGTAACATCAACTGATATACCAGTAGCCTGCTGTTTTAAAAGCTGATCGTACTCAGAACATGCACTTGAATATCGAACAAGTTGGGAGATGTACACACCATAAGCAGGTGATTGCAGGATATTACTACATAAACGTAGAGGGTGGAAAAGTTGATATTTTGTCACACCGTTTAGTTGTAAGTTGAAATTGGTTATCACCGTTTATTGTTAGTAAAATACCCAAACGTTGAAACAGATGTTTCTGACTCGTAAAATATCTTCTATTTTAAGTTCACTGGGATATATCGATTCGACATTTGAATGAAAATAATAACTACTTTTACTGATAGTACATATACATCGTCGATATATGTCAAAATGTCGAGCTGAAGGCCACAGCAAGTCTTCTTTTTCGTGTGATTCAAAAATGTTATCAATTATCTTTATAAAGCGCCCTTAACAATGTGAACAGGAAGAATTCATTTAAAGAAAAATTTCACGTTCTACACATGCAAGCCTTCTAAATCTTTATACCTATAGATAACTGTATTCCTATACGTAACTGTCAACCTTAACTACCTGTTATAATTTACTAAGTCCTGTGCATATTGAAATTTGTGCATTTGATCAAACTCGGTCAAACTTTTAAACTTCTTTTCTATCAAAAATAAGGATTATAAATGTAATTCGTTCTAATTAAACGAGAATCCTAGTGATGAAGAAACTAATTGGCTCCTTGGTTGTTGTTTACGCTTTGATAAGTAGTGGACTTTGTACGCTCTGATCACCGGTCGTTGGATAGAAGAAACAAGCTTCTACTTTGGAGTCTTCAGGTATTGTACCAACAACGTCACAGCCTGCCATAGTGTTACAGATGAACTACAAACAGTACAAGGGAGATATGAAATTTTATGATATGAAAGTATACAAACACTATTAAAAGTGGGTTTCAAACCATTAATGTAAAGTGTTAGCAGAAGTCCTCTTTACATGTTACAATTTTAAGGCACTTTATTTAAGTAAATACAAAATACAATCATATTTAAGAAGATTCAGATAATTTAATTGCCCCCCCCCCCAGTCGTTTCTTCAATAGAATAAAATATTTTTGAAAACTTTTCTGATTACCATACTTACCAGTAGTTTAGTTAATAAATGATTAAACAAGACTTTTTGAATTGAATGCATGTTTAATTTGATTAAAATTGTTACCAGTCTTGGCTACGTATATACTTGTTCTCCATTTTGTGGATAAAATTGGACTGAAACATTCAAATGCAAAGAGAAATAATTTCGTAGATCCATACTGTAAAACACTTTTAACCCACGGGAAATTTATTCCTGCGTAATAAAGTGGGTCTTCCTTCAAACTAAAATTTATTTCTCGTGTATATTACTTTTGATTAATTTATTTTGAACTATAAAAAATATCCGCAAAAATTATTTCTTGGTTTCCGGGTTTCTATTAATCATGTATCATATGACGCCTTTAAAAGATTGTTCTCTCTTCCTTGAAAAAATTGGCTTCCTTGTATCCAGTATATTATTGTTTTGTGTTTTGTTCATTTTTCTGTTTCCTGTCATAATATATACTCTAATTCATTTTTATTTGAAAAAGACGGAAGATTTCAGATGGCTTAACAGCTTGAAAAATAAAACAATTTGACAAAGGTTGTTAAAAGTAAGACACTTCCAGCATCGGTATTGTAAACCCGATCCTCCCCCCAAAAAAAAGAACTATCAATTAAAAAGGAGAGGGGTGACAGATATACAACTTAAAGTTTTTTAATTGCAAAATTACCGAGGGGCTATGTAAATCTGCAATTGGAGGTCCAACTTATACCCATATCTTCCAATCTAAGAAGGAAATTCTTTAATTATTAAATTATGCCAGTTTCAAATATCCCTAACAAATAAAATGAATTTGAATTACAATACCTACACTGGATTCCTACACTTTTAGTAAATGTCCATCGAAAGCCTCATCTTATTCCTCACTAAAATATTAATTGTTACAACTGCAGTGAAAAAAAACTCTAGGAATACAGTACAACAATAATTGGTGGTGTAATTCAGATGTGGATACACTTAAAAAAATGAATGCTGGCCAACGTATTTTCATACTGATTGTTAGGCTATTTTTAAACGCTGAATTTCCTACAGTTTTTCAATATGCCTGATCATGACAAGGACCCAATGGCAGGGGTTACCGACAGGCGAGACTTCTTTCTCCATGGCTCCCATCTCCTCTTATGTTGATTTTAGAGGTCAACGTCTGCTCTGCTCACAATTTGTGTTGTTTTCAATCGACCTTTGAGCTTGCTTACTGTTCCTATACCCCTATTTCATTATATTATTTCAATACTTAGAAAAAAAATTATTATATTTTCTAACCCTTCATCAATCCGGTGCACGTTTCTATCCTTTTCACAATCGGATTCCACATATCCTCCAAATAATTTCACGTGATGATACGTGTGATGTGTAATACGTCATCTTCTTATGCACTTGTAGATTTCACAAACAAATATTTGAATACATTTCAATCACAAAGTCACACAGTCAAATTTCTCAACTAAAATTAAATGAACTTGCACTGCAAAAAAGAGGCAGTCAAAATATTGAAAGTAGAGAGTTGATACTGGACAAACAAAACGGAAAACCTCTTCAACCAAATTTTCATACAAGTTTTTGATATAAAGGTATTGATCGACAAATTATATGTGGTAATATTGTATTTTTTATATATTTTTTCAGAGTATCTAATTCTCACTCGTTATGCCTTGATCAGAGCCTGTTCCCTTGGTTCTCTGTGTTTATTATGCTGTGTGTTTTCGATGTGTGAATCTTGTCGACCATGTTGCAAAAAAGCAAAGATATTTGCGAGAGCAAATGTGATTTCAACGTTCCTCTTGAGTATGTTTTAACTAACGGTATTTCATAACGTCAATGGTTGAATGATAATAATCATATGCATATCTATAATTCAATATTATTGAATATTTTTCAGTTGTACTGGAAACATGCACAGTGATATCGTTTATGCTTGCCTTGGCAAAATTGTCAGGATCTCTAAGTAAAGGATGGTCGTTCTATGTGGAAGTCGTGTCATCTATTTTTACAGCTTTTGTTTTCTTCATCCTCATCTTCAGCATATTATTTTGTACGTAATTCATTTTCTATTCTCCCTTAAAATGAAGATGATGATTAGAACAGTGAAACCCAGCAACTTTAGGAAATTCGAAATTCAAGAAATGTCCAAAAATAGTCAAACTGTCTCCTATCCTTCTGATGGAAATGAACAGCATTAGTTTTTTTTTCACATGTTCAAGATTTATCGATAAATGCATCTAATATGATTTGTATCTAAACGTAAAACTTTATTGTTTTTAGGCAATAAAAAATGTTACATGGATCATACAACATTTGTGAATCGTCCCTCTGACGGTAACTGTGAAAAGAAGACTGGTAATTCATGTCAGTTGATGTTAATTGTATTTAACATTGCACCATCCACTTCATCACATCATAATAAATTAATCATGTGAAAGATTTTAAAGCTAAAAATAACTTTTTAGTAATCATGTTCAGACTAAATTTGTTTAAGATCTGAAAGACTTGTTTTTAAATTTTCAGAAAAGTTACTTTTTAAAAAGCTTCCTAGGAGTGTGAATTCGGACGTCGGAGAATCATTGTCTGTGACCGCAGAAGTATCAAACGCCGACAATGTTTACTGGTGCAAGGGAAGGGATCATGTGATCAAGTATTCCACTTCTTTCACCGAACACTTTGAATCCTCGAAAGCTGAATTAAGAATACAAAGTGCAAGACTTCAAGACGAAGGCGAATATACCTGTGTTGCAGAAAAATATGGGGAAAATAAGGACAAACTAGCGCACAGATTCTTCATCTATGTCTTTCATGGTATCTCACTGAATTCATTGAACACTAAGAGATTTTTATGTCATCTGAATAGGTTATCAATTGCTATCCGAAACGCCCTCGTCCATTTTACTTTAAATTCCTAAAGTTCTTCCTCAAAAAACCATTGGATTATTTTCAACTTACTTACCTCAAGCATCTATCGGAAATATGCTTTCCATTCACCTCCATCTTGAGCATTCTAGATCATCTGAGCCGAAAACTCAAGTGGGCTTTTTCTGATCGAAAAGCGTCCGGAGCGTTTGTCTCTCATATGTTCGGTCCATCAACATTTTCGACTTCTTCTCAAACCACCGTGCCAATTTCAACGAAACCTGTAAAAATGCATCCTTAAGTAAAAGAGAATTCAGTTTATTCACAGGAAATTTCACACCCTCTTTCAAGGGGGAGATCATTAACAATTCGGAAAAAAAATCAGTTGCAGCTAAAAAATATCTCCTGCTCAAGAACTATTGGGACAGAAAAAGTAAAACAATTGCATATATGTCCACCTTCCACGTTATGTCGTTTGTTGGCTTTCTTTAGACGTGCCAGATAAATATTATATTTGTAAATGATATCCTCATAGCATCTCCTTATTATCATCTCATGAAAATATTTGTCTTTGTAGACAAAATTATTTTCAATATTTTATCAACACACCTACATGTATATATGCATGTGAGTCTACCACCTTTTTAAATTTTTTCTTTGAATCCTTTTCTGGCCTTTTCCAAAACTCAGCATTGGTCAGTGAGAGGGAAAATACCGGGTACACAGCAATAATACCGTCTGACTTTATTGTGTCTTTTAATCATGTTCCTTAAGCAGAAAAAAAAAATAAAAAGACATGTCTCAGAGAAATAGAATTGCTGTATGATCCACAAGTGGCCGATAATGTTTATGAACGCCTAGTTCTGTTTTCTTATTAAATTTTTAATTTTATCAAAGTAGAGAGAAAATCAAATTAATTCTTGGTATTGAACTAAAATAAGTTTTAATTATTCAATATTCTTTTAGTTAAGCCGGTATTTACCCAAAAGCCACCGGAGAATATCACTGTGTATGTTGGTAGTGTGTTAAACTTGGAGGCTAAAGTAGATAATGCAGAAACAGTAACGTGGATGCATGAGGGAAAAGAAATTATCAGTTGCTCAAAAAGAAATATAAAATGGAAATTCCTGCACGGGGAAGCCTCTTTAGAATCGGAAATGTGACTAGAAAGATCATGAAGGGGATTACACATGCACAGCTAGATCAGGAAATGACCTACAGAAAGGGAAGAACGCGATGGAGGAAAGTGTATATTGCAAAGTTAGGGTCGTAAATGGTAGGTTCCTACATTTCAACAAGACACTGATGACATATAAAAGAAGATTCAAGTATTGTTGATAAGTCAACGGAATTTTATAGAATTGTCTTGAAGAATTAGTTACCAAATTACGGCTAAAAGTCACTAAACAGTTTTTAAACTTTACATTCCGAGTTGTTTAAAAAACAAGTGAATTTTGTTTGATTATCACATGTAATTAGGAATTCTCATTTCAAGTTTCGCCTATATCCCAATAGAGAAAAGTTAAAAATTAGCATTTGAATTGAATTGCAGCTGAACTGCCATCATTTGAAAATGCACCAAAATCTATGATTGTTACGGAGGGCAACATTCTTGAAATAGAATTAAAGGTTTGTGGATTTCCTTTACCAGAAAAGGTTTCTTGGTTTAAAGGAAACGACAAACTAGAGATGAACAAACGTATAACAATGCAATACATTGATGGGGAATAAAATTGCCGTCTGATCAAAGGGTGGCCACTTGGCTTATATGAATGCTACACCGAAAATGTCATGGAAATAATGTATGTCGGATACCTGTTAAAGTTATAAAGGTAAGAATTTTCTTCTCCAACATTACCTTCGTGGTAAAGCATTTCATGAATATCATAAAAATGTCTCATTACACTGTTAATAAAAAAATTAACAAAGATATCAATGCTGCCTTCCTTTTTAATTAAAGTCAGGGGAAATTTTTTAAACCTAGATCACCCATATACATTGATTTCTTTGACTAAGAGAGATTGGCTGGTGATTTTTTTTTCCAAAGACTAAAGGTTAAGATGACAATTTGCATCTACGGACTGATTTTTGAATTTAGTTCCCCACGTCTCCATTCTTTCGACATACCATTTAATTCATTACAATCAAAGGGTTTACAGCTATAGACAGGACCCATAAAAAAACTAAACTGGTCAGATTTGGCTTTATAATAATACACCCCGAATATTTAATGATTACATATCACGTTTATTCAAACTGCGTCCATTTTAATTATACAATGACCTTGTCAGCAAATGCAAATGCAATTTATCATTTCAAAACTACTACGTTTTTCATACTAATTGTTAGTCCATTGTTTAACACGAAAAAAACGGGGTTTTCCCGTTATTTCTCGATCATGACAAGGAGCACACGGCTAGTGTGACATGTGGAAGGATGTTACTCCTCCGTAGCACCTGATCCCTTCTCCGATGTTTTGGAGGCCCGTGTTTGCTCTGTCGAATTTTGTATAATTGATTTGTAACTTTTGATTTTTAATTTGTTGTTATCTCCATTTTTTTTTAGAATGAGTCATTGCAAGAGACATCGAATGTTCCATCTGCTGAACCGTCGTCCCGACAAAGTTTTACGTGTGGGGAGCCTTTTGCTCGGAGTGTTCGACAAGATTAACCAGTTGTCCCCATTGCAGGGCCCCGTTTAAATTTTAAAAGGGTTTTTTTATGATTTAATATTTTTTTTCAAACGTTTTGTAAACAGATTTAAAAATTTTTACAGCATTGTAATCAAAATTTTGAAAAAAATTTTCTCCACTAAGGTTCTAAATACAGTGTACATGTTCATATATTTGTTTATACATCTCTCTTGAAATTTTTTATTATCTTATCAGTTTTTGAACTTCATGAAAACAGCCCCGGGGAATTTATATGGGTCAGGACAGGTGTAACTGTAAATAAATTTGATGAAATTGTTGTAAAATAACGTGTTTTTTTTTTTTCTTATAACCCCTAGAATTCAACTCATCAATGACGCAAAATTTTAATAT